TCACTCAGTCGTGCCTGACTCTTTGTGACCCATAGACTGTAGCTGCCAGGTTCCTCTGTCCATGGAATTTTTCAGGCAAGAGACTAGAGCGAGTTGCTATTTCCTACTCCAGGGATCTTCCCAGATCAGGGATCGAACCTGTGTCTCCTGCACCTCCTACACTGGGAGGCAGATTCTTTCCCACTGTGTCACCCGGGAGGCCCAGTGTATTCCTTACAGACCATCTTCCAGTCTTTGCGAACATCTGGTCTTTGTTTAAATGTCTCCATCTCTAATCAAACCCTTACCTCTCCTGTCATTTTTACCCAATGGCCCCGAGCTTCCTCCTGACGTCCTGCAGAACACAGCTGACCCCCTTCTGGGGAGGGCTACTCTTCAATGCTAGGACTAGGCTGGCATACCTTCTCAGTCTTCGCATAAACAGGTTAAACATCCCCAGTTCCTTCATTGTATTTCTTGTTTTGTTCTGTTTTGTTCAGTTCACATAATTTTGCAATGGTCACTTTGAACATCATTTCAAACAGTCATCTTAAAGAAAAGTCCAAATAGGAAACTGAATACTCAAAGAATTCCCTGATAGGAAACAATGCATTTTTAAAAAGTGAAATTTAATTTTGGCTTTAAAAATAAATACCTGAACAAATCTAGTCAGATATAATTAGATGGGTAAATATTTCATTATATATACATATAAATACATGTATAATATATACATATAGATTATATGTGTATGTAGACATGCAGATATATATGTATCCACACACCCACACATCCATATGAGAGAGAGAGAGAGACTCCCTTCATTTTTCATTGGAAGGTACACCCAGTTTAAACATAAGTTCTGGCAAAATTTTTTCATCACTAACCTTGTTAAGAAAGCCCAAAGGCTTCACATTCTCTGGCAGAACACTGGATGTGAAGATCAGGATTCCTTCTGGGGGCTGGTGTCTGTGTACGTGGGTATGTCATTTCAGGGGCGGTGATAATAAAGACCTATGGTGTGCAGTCCTGGCTGACTCTTTGCAACCCCATGGACTATAGCCCATGAAGCTCTTCTGTCCAAGGAATTCTCCAGGCAAGAATACTGGAGTGGGTTGCCATTTCCTTCTCCAAAACTATAGCACGGAAGGTAAGAATTTAATGCAGCAAGTATATATTATGCAGCTGATGTGTGCAAACTTGTGGTTGTGAGATACACAGGAATAGACACCATAAAATGGATGTTAGAGGCCAATGCAAATTAAGCACCCATCCCTTTAGGTAAGACAATCATTCATTCGGTCAACCAATACTTACTGAGCATCTACCATGGATAAGCATTGTTCTGATACATACAAAGAGTGTCAATGTGCTTAGAACAGAATGAGCAATAGAAAGATGGACTGCAAATAACTTTAGATGACTGGAGCTGTTTTAAGTGGTCTTGCAGCTTCAAATAGTACAGGACAAAGAATAATCCAGCAGAAGGCATTTTCTGCCTTCATAAATAATCCAGCATTTGGTAATAATAATAATATAGAGTGTTAATAGCAACCTTGACTTGAGAGCTTATTGTGTGCCCAAGCAATGAGCTAAGCCCTTTACATTCATTTTATAATTTAATCTTCACAACAATACTTTTATCACTATTTTCCATGTAGAGAAGCTAAAGATTAATTACCCAAGGTATTATAACTCATAAGTACACAAGTATATTATTTGCAAAAATGACGACAATTCTCCCTAAAACCATGCCCTTCGCAATGTAATGTTGCCACTCATCCAGTCAAGAGGCAGGCTCTATTTTCTGTTTCTTTGAATGGCCTTGCAACTTGTGTTGGTTAGCTAGATACAATAGAAATGGCAAAGCACCAGTTCCCAGCGTCAACCTCAGAAAACCTTGCAAACTTCTGCTCTCTCTCTCTCTGACGCCTGAGATCACGATATGAAAAAGCCCAAAGCAGCCAGCTTTGGGCTGGCTGAGAATGAGAGGTACACGGGCTTCTAGGCGAGGTCACCCCAGACAGCCAGTATCGAGCGGCGCGTCCACTGATGCAGGAGCATGAACGAGCTGGCAGAGGACAGCTGAGCCAGCCAAGAATAGCCAGCAGCCCCCTGCAGGCTTGTGAGCAGTAATAAAGGCTCCTTGTTTGAAGCCACTAAGTCTTGGGATGGTTACTTAGGATTCTGAAGCCCAAGATGGTCTGACTTCAGATGTTGTGTATTTAATCACTGTATAACATCATGCCATCTAATGAAATATGAATGTCTACCTTAGAATTATAGGATTTTTTTTCTGTATCAGATGACCTGCTATTAATAATACATTTTCAGTGATTTTGCTTTTTCCTTAATTCTCCCAAACAAGAAGAGGTCCATCTTGTTTATGCAAATTGATTTCCCTGTTCTAGGATTGTTTTTCTTCCCAAATGCTCGTTTCCAGCTGCTCTGGGTCAGGGGTAAAGACAGAGCGTTCCAACAGCCTTTTGGCACCCCGGAGCCAAGAGCCATCTGTTTGGCTGTAGGCTATTCACCAAGGACCCGGCAAGTAACATGTTTCTGACCAGTGGTGGATAATTTGATAGCTCATCATTACCCAATAAATATGCTAATCATTGCCCCTGAAGTGGGACTGAAACAGTAATTTGGTTGCAAAGCATCCAGTGCTTGTCTGGAAGATAGAGAAGGCCTGTGATCCCGGCCTAACTTCATAAAGCTGTCATGTTGTTATTTATCCTATTTTACTTGCCCCCAAACTCTGATCTATCCGTCATCATGCACGAGAGACTAAATGGTCCTCCCTGTTATCTGATAAATAAGTAGATACTCACTTTCTTTGACATGTTATCATTTTACCCTTTTCCCATCCAGTTTTGTCCAGATGAATTTTCCTCTTTAATAATTCTAATAGATTAGCTTAGATTTCCGAGGCAGAGTAACGAGAGAGCAGTGTGGATCAAGCACTCACTCATTCCCTCCAAATCTGACTGTCCAATCATTCAGTAAGTGCCTTCTATTCGCACATGACTTAAAATCAGATTCTGGAATCTATTAAGCCACCTCAGTTGGATAAATATTCTTCTTAATTAAGTAATAATAATGATGACACCTAATATTGAAAATAATATGAAAGTGTTTAAACCAATTACTTTCATAGTCATCATTTTATCTTTTTAATAATGATCAAGAAAATGAATCTAAAAACCATTAAAGTACTTGTTCCTAACCTCACCATATGCGTTCCCTAAAGATTGCTGTTGTTAGTAGATTAATAAGGAATGAGAACCAGAACCTTATGCATTGCCTTGAGTATTTATATCACCTGAGTGAGCACTGCCCCTGGGAATGGGTGGTGTTTAATCTGTGAGGCTTTACAAGGCAGTGGAGGGGAGATGGTCATAGATTTACCAGAAATAAGTATTTGATAATAATCATTTTAACTGACCTGCCTTTCTGGGTAGATTCTTCAAAAGATATCCAGTAGATTCTGAATGGAAATAACAGTAATAATTATTAAGCACACATGTGTGCTAAGCATTAAATACACATTATCTCACTTAATCTTTAAAACAATCCTCTGAATTAGGTATTAGAGACCCTGATGCTGGGAAAGATTGAGGGCAAGAGAAGAAGGGGATAACAGAGGATGAGACGACTGGATGGCACCATGAGTCTGAGCAAACTCCAGGAGATAATGAAAGACAGGGAAGCCTGATGTGCTGCAGTTCTTGGGATCACAAAGAGTTGGACACGACTGAGAGACTGAATGGTATTCACTCCCCAGAACTCAACATGCCTCACTCCAGAGCTCAGACTCCACCCTCTGCCCCTCAAGAATCAAACTGCAGTGATTAGAACTCAGTAGTAGAGTTCAGTCTCGTGGTTACTAGACGCTCCTCTGTGAGTGAGAGACCAATAAGTAGAAATACCTGAGTAGCGCCTTTGAACATGATATGACTAAAACATTTAAAAATGACCTCACAAGTTGAAAATCTTCAAAGCAACATAAACCTCCATGAAAACTGCAATGATTAAGTGGAATCTGCATTTAATGAAAATTACCTACAGCAACCTGCTCCAGTATTCTTGCCTGAGAAATCCCATGGACAGAGACCCTGGTGGGCTATAGTCCAGGGGGTTGCAAAGAATTGGACATTACTGAAGACTCACACATACACACACCTACTAATTACCTTTCCTTCAGACTTTCAGAAATTTCTAGAAGTGTAAAATGCCTGACCAGACTTCTCTTTCTGTTACCACTTTGCCAGTTTCCTCTCCCACTCCCACCACAACTTTCTAGCATAAATACCAAAATTAAATAAAGGTAATTTTCTTTCCATATTTTTAAAGACAGGAATTTTATATTTCTTCATTTTTCCTGAATCTGGTTTTTTTTTTTTTTGGCGAGGTGGGAGTAGGGAGAATATCCCTCTAGTTTAGGAAGGCAGGATGGTGGACTTTGGCCATCGTGAAAAGAAAAAAAAATAACTAACTGGGTTAGTTAGCTGGTTAGCAAGTTAATTGGTTGGTTAGTTAGTTAACTGGACCTAGTAACATTAAACAGAAATGCCTTAGGAAAAAAGCAATCAATGAGATGTTTCCAAGGGAACCGAAGTTCCTTAGAAGGGCAGTCAAGCTATCACGAATGAAGTCTTGACTGACTGCGGCAGCGCCCAGTGAAGCAGCTTGCTCTGACGCTACAGAGCCTCCAAGAGCCCCAGGGAGACGGTGAGCGTGCCCTTCCCATCTCCTCTTCCGTCTCAACGGACTTCAGGGAAGATACAGGTAATGTGAGAGCTTCCCTGGTGGCTCAGGTGGTAAAGAGTTCGCCGGCAGTGCAGGAGACCCACTCTAATATTCTTGCCTGGAGAAACCCATGGACAGAGGAACCTGGAGGGCTGGAGTGGGCTACAGTCCATGGGGTCGAAAAGGGTCGGTCATGACTGAGCAGCTTTCACTTTTCATAGCCGATGTGAACATAAGGAACAGCCGGCAGGGTCGCCTGTCCAGGGCCAGACCTCCGAGCAGCTGGTGGAGGCCACCACTTTCACCCAGAGTTTCTGGGGAGCCCATGTGGCTCCACACCCCTCCCTCTCCTCCTCTTCTCCCCATCCCCCTCCTTTGCTTCTTTTTGGAAAGATGCAAACCCATAGGAAAGCTGCAAGACTAGTACGCTAGCATAAATCGCATATACTGCTCACCTAAATCACTAGTCGTGTCATATTTGTTTCTCTCTGTGAATGTGTGTGCACATATATAATATGCACATGAAATAAACATGTATACTACAATTGTTATTTTGCTGAAAAATTTGGTCTTTAATTCTAAATACATTTGCATGTATCTCCTGAGAACAAGGATACCATCTGACCTAATCCCAATTCAGTTACTGAATTCAGGAAATTAATCTTGATATAATACTATTGTCTAATAGACAATCCCTATTCAAATTTCACTAACTGTCTCAATAGCATACTTTGTACCTTTTTTTTCTTATCTAGGACCCAGTCCAGGGTCATGCACTGCACTGAACTGCCGGGACTCTTTAGTGTCTGAAACAGACTGATGTCTTTTGGAGGATACGGGACAGCGGTTTTCAGTTGCTGTTGTTGTCCAGTCCCTCAGTCATACCCGACTCTGTGACCCCACGGACTGCAGCACTCCAGGCTTCCCTGTCCTTCACCATCTCCCAGAGCTGCCCAAATCATGTCCATTGACTAAGCCTCAATTTAAGTCTGTCTGATTGTTTCCTCGTGATTAGATTCCGGTTATATATATACTGTATCAGCGATCATGCGTCATTCTCAGGACACCTTTCTGAACTTCCTTTCTTTTTTTTTTTGTTATTGAGCTTTTCTTTTTTAAAAATTTATTTATTTTAATTGGAGGCTAATTACTTTATAATATTGTAGTGGTTTTGCCATACATTGACATGAGCTCTTCAATTTTCATTTTATTTTAATCACAGTGTAATTGCTCTCCAACATTGTGCTCGTTTCTGCTGTACAACAGTGAATCAGCCGTGAGTGTTTATTCGGCCCCTCCGTCAGCAGCCTCCCTCCCCACCCCATCCCACCCGCTAGGTCATCACAGAGAAGGGAGTGGAGCTTCCCGCGCCTTATAGCAGCTTCCCACTAGCTGCCGGCCTCACATGCGGTGCTGCTCAGCTCATCCCACCCTCTCCTCCCCACTCTGACACGTCTGTTCTCCATGTCTGTGTCTCTTTGCCTGCCCTGCAAATAGGTCCATCAGTACCATTTCTCTAGATCTTATGTGTGTGTGTGTGTGTTTATATATGATATGTGTTGAACTTTGATCACATTGGTGAGGCCATTTCTGGAACATGTTGCTTCAGATTATCCATTTTCCCTCAGTAAAAGTAATCTGTGGGGAGATATACTGATAGTGTGCAAATACTCTGTTCCCTAGCAAACTCACCCATTGATTTTTGCACAAACTCCTCTCATTTTTGCTTGTAATGATAGCCAAGTAGTTCATCTAAACAATTCCGCAATTTAATAACATGCTCTATCCTGAACTGACATATCCTATCAGATCATTGCATGCTGTGAGCATTTCCATTCATTTTAAAACTACTCCCTTTTCATCTTAACATGTGAGGACTGAGAGAAAAGCCTACATTCACATTATACCTCTGAGCAATGAGAACACAGAAGGCTGCTAGTAACGACACATTTCCCCTTTCCTATTTTCACTCCACGGAGAGGAAGAAAAGTGACCTTGCTGGACTCGATCCATACGAAACCATGGTTGTTTTAGAAGGGCTGGGCAAAAGCAGGTGGCGGAAAACTCCTCAATTCAAAACCAAACCAAATCCCAGCCAATATGGGAAGCAAAACGCCTCAGTCAGTCTGCAAGCTACCACAGGGCATCCTGCTGACTTCTGAGCAAAATTAATTGCACGAACCTGGCAAGGCTCCAAACATCGGCCGTCCCCGCCTTCATTACTGCAATCTCTGCTGTCACTTCTTAATCAACGCTGCCTCCATGATTCGATAGATGGTTCTTTGCTTGCATTTAGAGAGGGATTGGTGCAAACACTGCTTTCACTAGGCAATTATTTTTTTATAAGGATTTAAGTTGGAGCACATGGTTGGACATGATATGGAATTTAAGCAGCAAAAGCCTCTTGGGGCACTCTGGGAACCACACCAAACTCATACCTACATTGGTTAGACATGTCTCAAGGTCATGAAGATACACCCTGCAAATACTGGCCCAAAAAGTGTAATGAGCAAGCTTTCTCTCTCTCTTTTTTTTCGCTTGTAGTGCAAAAATAAGAGACAAATAAAGAACAGTTGGCCATAAAGGGGAAATACTTTAACATTTATTGGGACATTTTCAATAGCTTATTTTTCTTCTTGCTATGGGAATACAGGGAAGCCTGGCATGCTGCAGTCCATGGGATCACGAAGAGTCAGACACGACTTAGTGACTGAACAACAACATTGGGACTATTTATAGGATGTCACATGTTTTTTCTTCCAGATCTTGTCTTCATGCTCCAATCCTTTCCTTACCTGTGATGCCAAATAATTCAAACCAGGTAGTAAAATACTGTTAGGATAGGGTGTATTATGGTCACTGACACTGAATATCAAACAACAAGCTAATGAGACAGAAAACTGGGATTGAAGGAGTTTGTTCTAATGATAGCACAAGAAAAACATGTCATACTTGCAGAATCCAGGTGAACTAGGGGTTTAAGAAAGGCATGAAGAAGGCCTCTGTTATTAAACAAATGAGGTAATTCAAGGCATTTTTAATGTTTCTATTTTCATTGGAAAATTTGCATGACCATCTGATTCCTGGAGAAGTCATACAGTCTAAAACTCAAGCATCAGATAAAACTGCCAATGGCCCAAATCAATTCTCTTAAAAATTCTGCTGGGATAAACATTCTATAACCTCTCTTAAGAAGAATGACATACAGATGGCTAACAAACACATGAAAAGATGCTCAACATCACTCATTATCAGAGAAATGCAAATCAAAACCACAATGAGGTACCATTACACACCAGTCAGGATGGCTGCTATCCAAAAGTCTACAAGCAATAAATGCTGGAGAGGGTGTGGAGAAAAGGGAACCCTCTTACACTGTTGGTGGGAATGCAAATTAGTACAGCCACTATGGAAAACAGTGTGGAGATTTCTTAAAAAGCTGGAAATAGAACGGCCATATGACCCAGCAATCCCACTTCTGGGCATACACACCGAGGAAACCAGATCTGAAAGAGACACGTGCACCCCAATGTTCATCACAGCACTGTTTATAATAACCAGGACATGGAAGCAACCTAGATGCCCATCAGCAGACGAATGGATGAGGAAGCTGTGGTACATATACACCATGGAATATTACTCAGCCATTAAAAAGAATTCATTTGAATCAGTTCTAATGAGATGGATGAAACTGGAGCCCATTATACAGAGCGAAGTAAGCCAGAAAGATAAAGACCATTACAGTATACTAACACATATATGTGGAATTTAGAAAGATGGTAACGATAACCCTATATGCAAAACAGAAAAAGAGACTCCGATGTATAGAACAGACTTGTGGACTCTGGGAGAAGGCGAGGGTGGGATGTTTCAAGAGAACAGCATCGAAACACGTATATTATCTAGGGTGAAACAGATCACCAGCCCAGGTTGGGTGCATGAGACAAGTGCTCGGGCCTGGTGCACTGGGAAGACCCAGAGGGATCGGGTGGAGAGGGAGGTGGGATGGGGAATACATGTAAATCCATGGCTAATTCATTTCAATGTATGACAAAACCCACTGCAATGATGTAAAGTAATTAGCCTCCAACTAATAAAAATAAATGAAAAAAAAAAAAAAGAAGAATGAAATAAAAGTAAGTCTGATTGCAAGAGGGAGCCTGCAGTCATACTCTGTTTATATTAAAGGACATAGTCAATTCAACTGGAGTAATTGAGCACATAGGTATGTTGTGTTGGCATAATGGTATTTTGGAAGGTCCCAGGACACTGGAACCTTACTAATATACTTGGCTAGAGTCACTTCTGTGGCTCAAAATTCTCCAATGGCTCCTTCTCTTTACACTGAGAATAAAATCCAAGGCTTTTTCAAGGTATGTAAAACCCGCTGACCTGGCCTCTGATTTGTCAGTCTGCTCCTGTATCACCCGCTCTCCCCAGGTTCACGACCCTGCTGCCCCGGGGAGTCTTGCTCAGGCCCTTGAACCCGCCCATACCTCTGTCTCAGGGAATCGTGCCTTTGCAGTTTCCACTGTCTGGACAGAAAGAGGCTGGCAGGCCGGGTCTTCTGGCCTCAACTCACATAGAGTCCCCTGAGAGAAACCATCCGTGCTCACGGCACCCAACGCATCTGTGAGTCTCTGCACACCACTTCTTGGGATCTGTAGCATGTGCTCATTGGTTTCTTTCTCACCCCCTCCCAACAGGTCTTTTCAGTCCTGTTCACAAGGGCATCTTCAGCACTCAGTAGATTAGAGCTCAGTAACCATGGGCTGAACTAACAGAAGACCAAACGAAAGCCTGGAGCGAGTGAAGGACACACAGTCTGCACAAAACTGGGTGCTGTTTCACATCAGCACTTCCGCCTTGCATTTTAAGAATCTGGGATCAAGTTTAATGTTCTCTAAGAGACCAACTGCAGCCATGAAATTAGGAGACAATTGCTTCTTGGCAGGAAAGCTATGACAAACCTAGACAGTGTATTAAAAAGCAAGGACAGTGTATTAAGAAAACCTAGACAGTGTATTAAAAAGCATCACCTTGTCAGCAAAGGTCTGTATAGGCAAGGCTATGGTCTTCCAGTAGTAATGTAAGGATGTGAGAGCTAGACCATAAGGAAGGCAGAGCACCAAAGAATTGATGCTTTTGAACTGTGTTGCTGGAGAAGACTCTTGAAAGTCGTTTGTACAGCAAGAAGATCAAACCAGTCAATCTTGAAGGAAATCAACCCTGAATACTCATTGGAAGGAGTAATGCTGAAGCTGAAGCTCCAATACTTTGGCCACCTGATACAAAGAGCCAGCTCACTGGGAAAGACCCTGATGATG